AAGCCTCTTGGATCAACCAATCAAAGCACAAACCGTAAGTACGCATTGGGGGCATTTTGAGTTTGCCACAATGCCCCTCAAGTATGACCAATCAAAAGAAAAGCAGTTGGTATTGTCAGAAAACACAGACATGGAGGGTGGAGGGGTGCACATCTTGAGTTTGTCACAAAGCCCCTTGGGTTTGACCAAATAAATGAAGTGTCAGCACTATCACGAAACACAGACATTGGTGACATTCTGAGTTGGCCACCATGCCCCTTGGTTTGACCAACCAAAGCACAAGCAGTCACCACTACTACAGTACACAGACACGGGGAGGATTTTGAGTTTGGCAGTACACTCCCAGGGCTTGCCAGCCAAGGCACAGACAACGAAACTCTGATACAGAGTCACAAATCTACACACGCTGATCAGATCCCAAGCATAAAGATGCAGTACAATCACGAAAGAACAGACATGAGACTCACAGGAACATAAGGACAGACCCACCTAAAGCAGCCTGCAAAGTTTTCAGTAAAAGAACCGTTCCTGTTGGGATACCCTCTGTCCACCTTCCATATCCCTTGTAAACTCCAAGCTGGGATTTTCACTGGCAACTTGATCCAAATCGTTCCTCTTGGATTGCCCTAGTACGCTAGAACTCTGGATCTACCCAACCCCAACATCAAACAGCATCTACAAGATTTACTTATATAGTATCTTGTGATAAATTAAAAACACGTAGCCCAGTCATGAATAATGTGCATAGCTTTGGGAACCTGGAGCAAGCGCAAGGAAAATGCGCAATAGCGAAATGACAGAAATCCAGAATGCAAAATCACCTTGAAAGCCAGAAAGTCCAACGCTGTCCAGAAATCAGAAACGCACCGATACGTCACCAATGAAGAACCAAAGCATCGAATCCGAATGTAAATTAGATCATACTCCCGCCACCACGAACATATGTATCCAGAGCATACTTGCAAGCGGACGCCGTCCGGGCGGTTCCGCACGTGCGGCAGACAGTCGGACCCCCCCCCCCAAAAAAAAAAAACGCCTGCTTGCAAGCGGACGACCAGTTACGCCCCCCCCCCCCAAAAAAAAAAAAACGCCCCCGTCCGGTCCGGGGGGAGGGTGCCGCACGCGGCAAAGCGGACCGAACCGGACGCTCGACCGGTCCGTCTGCTTGCAAGTATGATCTAGAGCCCTTCCTCCTACTTGGCGCTCAGCGCCCAGACTACAATCGCGCAGCTACTACCAGCCTACGAATTGACAATGCAACCTGTTGACATCAGCAGCAGAACCAAATTACATGAGGATGTCAACCCTTGTAGACCACCACCAAGACCAGGTACGTGCCCTCACATCAACATCCTCATCTCCCTCTCTCTCTCACCCTCGACTTCTACACCCACGTCTTCTCCCTCATACACGAAGACCACCACCACCTCCCACTGGATATCCAAGCCCAAGCCCGGCTACATGGGCTGGGCTATGGCGCTGCCCTCAGCAGCGCCCTGCCTCTCGCATGACCGCATGCGCGCACTTCTGCACTGGCGCTAGCAGCAGCACACGAGCGCTCGCTCCAGCAGCGCTGCCACCTGCTCTACAAAGTGCCCCATCCCCATGCGGAAGCCCGACCCTTTCCCATTATGGAAAGTGGCGGGCGCATCCCACTTGCTTGCCTCGTGAGACCGAGTTTCCAGTAGGTTCAGTCTCGGCCAAAGTGTCTTCATCCAGGCCCATTCAGACAGTGGCCTGGGACCGATTTGGTTAGGTATGTCAGATTGTGAATTTGAAAATACAGGTTCAACTCCCGTTATTTGCCTCTTGCATCTGAACTCTGGCGAGCCTAAATCCAGGCAAAGCTGGTGTCAAGACAGTTATTCATTGTCTGAAGTCAATGCCCAGGCACAACGTGCAGGGGGGGCGCCTTCACTTAAGGCAGGCACGCACCTGTAAACCCTCGCACAAGCTTTGGGAAATTGTTTACAATTTTAACAAGACGGGTTTTATGTCCATCATATAAAGCACCTACAGAAAAAAAGGGGCTGAAGAAACCAGTCCATGACTTAACATGAGTAAAATACTACCTTCAATTCCTTGTATATTCAATAGAGTGAAACAATGGTTGTGGCTCATTCCTTCTGAGGAAACCTTGGGTTTGAACTTTGAAGTCTTTTGATGTATTTAGCGGTATCTGCAAAGACAGTCAAATTCTTGCGTGCTTTCGCGCCGTCGTGGGATTCAGATGCGAAGCGTCTGCTCTTCGAGCCGTCAGGTTGCCACCAAAATACTTCAGAAGACGTTGTGGCCAAGGAAAGGCACTCCTTTCTACACATGGGTAATAACGGGTTTTGTCCTTCAGATCTCAGTTTCACTGCTTCTGATCGTGGACCAGAGATTGCTAATAGAATATCATATGTGATGTGGATGTAATGCATGGCTGCGATCCGGACGTCCAGACGGTCTGGATTCAGTCCGGACTCCAGACGTCCAGTCCGGAAGGTTCGGATCTGCCAAAGGGAAAAAAAAAACAAAAAAAAAGGGTCCAGGACCATTCCCCACTGAGGCGCCAAGCCCCCAAAACCCGTTATTTATTTTTTGGGCCGCCCCCGGATTTTTCAGTTATTAATACTTCATTACTTCTTAAAGTATTTTATGAAGCTTTTTATAGTTGTTGACTTTTATGCGAGGATATGGGTCCTCGGCAGGCCTAAGGGCCCCCCTGCAGCATATGTGCCTGCCCTAAGTGAAGGCGGGCGGGCCTAACAAATCACGAGAGCCCCTTGGCTGCCAATTTCGCATTTGGGGTCCAGGCAGTTTCGTCGCGCCAGTTGGTTGAAAGGAAACTCAGGCCGAGCAGCGTGGAAACTCCCAGGCATCCTAGGCCTTTCTGAAAGCACAGGCCCTGGGCGAGATTCGCAGCCTCATACACAGACAGTTGGGAGGTCCAACTGAATGAGGCCCAGTAGCTGCACCAGAGGCGCAGCATCCTGGGGCCTACCGGAAGCTTCTGGGCCCAGGCCAGTCCAGCCAGGCTGCCGAATGAGGCAGGCTCTTTCCATATAGGAAAAAGCTCGCTGCCTGGCGCAGCATTCGGGCACTTGCTGGCTGGTGGCAGCGCTGCTGGAGCGATAGCTCGCGTGCTGGCTGCTGGCCTTGGAACAAGAGGCTGCGCACGTGCGGTCGTGTGGTGAAGAAGGGCGCTGCGGGAGGGCAGCGCCATAGCCCAGCCTCCATAGCTGGCTGTGGGCTTGGACATACAGTGAGGCGCAGGGGTGGTCTTCGGGTGTACAATGACGGGAGACATGGGAGAGAGTCAAGGGGGAGAGAGAAGGATGATGATGATGATAATGTGAGGGCACATACCTGGTACTGGCGGTGATCCTGCATGAGCGACATCTTCATAGGGTAGTAGTAACTGTGTAGGGGGTAGGCTGGGCGCCGAGCGCCAGGTAGGGAGATAGAGACTGGATACATATGTTGGTGGTGGCGAGAGCAAGCTCTCATTGACATTGACTTTCAGTGCTACGATTCTCCATTGGTGTTATATTGGTGCAATGCTGCTTCCTGAACACTGTGTTACGATTTGGCTTTCAATGTGATTGTGCAATCTGAATGTTGTCATCTCGCTTCTGTTTATTTTCCTTGCATTTAACTCACGTTGGGTTGACATGACTCTGAGGCAAAAGTGGCTTGCAACTTTGCACTGTTATTCTGCATAAATACTTTTTTTTCAGATTTTTTTTTTTTTTTTCTGGACATTTCCGGACCTGCTTACCGGTCCGGATGTGTCCGGAAGTCTGGACGTTCAGACCCAACCGGACATGCGTCCGATCGCCGGACATGAGCTATGCGGGTCCGGGTCCGGCGTAGCCATGATGTATTGCGTCCTTCGGTCCCAATGCGCGGGATTCCGATGTGAAGCGTCTGCTCTTCAAGCCTTGTTATTTTCACGGATAGTTGTTTTTATTAAGTGGTCGAGTTCATTAAGGTATATATTTGATAGTAGGGAACTAAGGCCGAAGAGCCACCGCCTGGCGGCGCCTATGGTCCCCTCGCGATTGCCATGGACAGTACCGACCCGTTCCCCAAGCACAAGACCAGAGTGGATGGGATTCTCACGGTGGTTGACTGACTCACCAAGTTCGCCATGTTCTTGCCTTGTCGCTATCATGCCAAGGCACTGGAGTTGGCCGAGGTTCTTTACGCCGGTTGGATTTGAACCAAGGGTTACCCCAAGGAGATCGTCTGCGACCGCGACACCCGGTTCATGTCCAATTTTTGGTTGGTGCTCATCAAGCGATGGGGCTCATCTCTCAAGCCCAGTTCAGCCCGCCACCCTCAGACCTATGGCCAAACGGAGAGGGCGCACGAGACCGCACAAGTTCTCCTTCGCACTCTCATTCGTCCTGACCAGAAGGACTGGGTTGAGCGGCTACCGGATGTCGAGTTGGCCTACAACTCCTCTATCCACCCGGCTATCGGGATGTCGCCCTTTGAGTTCGAGCACGGCTCGCCGGTTTCACCGTTGGACACTATTACTCCACGGACGACCGAGAGCGACGACCATCTTCTTTTCTTGCGTCGGATGCAAGAGCTTTTTGTCAAGGCACGCGATGAGATGACTAAGACGCAGAATGCATGAGCCAGTAGGCCAATCGCCAGCGTCTTCCTTGCCCATTCCGAGCAGGGGACCTCGTTTGGGTTTCCGCAACGGAATTCAGCCTTGAACAAGACATCTCTCGCCCGAAATGGATGGGGCCTTGGCCGATCGTAGCACCCGCTGGGGACGCACCCGAGGGACCTTCCTTCACGATTGAGATGCCCGACCACCTGCCCGTCTACCCAGTCTTTCATTGCTCCAAGTTGGCTCTTTACACGCCAGCGGAACATGACGATTTTCCCGGGCAAGACCCACCTTCCATGGACGGTTTTCAGGAGGTTGGCGACATCATCTCCCAACGACGCTACGGCAATAGGCCAACCGAGTATTTAGTGCACTTTGCATACTGCAC